GGTTCTAATCCATGTCCTATTTCCATTTAGCAAACTCTAGTTGTTTTTTTTCTGGTGGCCCTTCCAAATAGCCTACTGACATGGAGGTGGCATCTAATTGCAGATATGGAGACTTGGTGACCTCTTAATGTAACCAAGCATTGTAGTGCTCATCTGTGGCCCATGGATTTTTCTTTGCCTCCCAAACCATCCTCCTCACTCTGTATGAGCGTAAGACACACTTGCATCCTCTACCATGCAAGTTGACCACTAAACGCACCTTGATTATTGCCATAATAATGGTTAGTGTTATATTGAACGTTTTTTGTATTTTTTGTACCAATTGCCTGATTTACAGTATGAAGGTCAACAACCATTTGTCTGTTATGTTTCTGAGTTCTTTGTCTCGCCCCGTGTTAATGGATGACAAAGGCAACAAAAGTCATCTCATCTTTACAGCCCGGTGAAACGGGAAGCCATGGAAGGTCATAACATATGTCTGTAAGACCGAGACTCAAACTTGTAGGATGTTAGTGCAGATTTATTTTTTTTTTGTTTTATTTCTAAAAGTCCTTAGCAGTGCCAATAATTCTAACATCTATCTGAGAAATAAAATAAAACCTTTCATTGTTAATTCAAAGGGAGAAGCAGGGGTTAGTAAAGCACAGAAAAGTAGCACCTGGACCGTGCCGGGAACCTGGGTTTCCTGGGTTGGCTGGCTCAGTACCCTCTGGGGCATGAAAGCAATAATACCCCAGACTTGCTGAGAGTCACTTGAGAGGCGCTGCCTCGTGACTGGGAGCCTGGCCCTCAGGGGATAGAAAGGAATAGATAGACCTCTTGACTCACCGAGAATCACTTTGAGGCACTGCCTTGCAACTGGCAACACATCCATCAAGGGGAATGAGAAGGAACCCCTTGACTGGAGGAATCATTTAAAGGGGCGTTGACCCCAGGAGGAGAGAATGGAGAGAAAAGAGCTCCTTGAGAAGGAAGTGAAAGAAAGTCCCCTGACTCACAGAGAGCCACTTTGGAGGTGCCGGCTCACTAATGGACTAGGCCCTCAGGAGACCTCAGTAGACCGGGTGGAGGAGAGCTGCTGGAGAACAGTGTGCCCGGGGATCCCCTCTGACTCATGCTGGGAGAGCCTTCTCAGGCGGGGTCAGTTGGCACTGCCAGGAAAAAGTTCAAGTTCAAGTTTCTTTGTTAGTCCAGCCATATACAAGTATACAGAGGAGCGAGATATCATTCTCCAGGTCTACGGTGCGAATACAGACACACTGACATGACGATGCTATAGGCAATGTAGATATAGACATTTCTGACAGGGTACAGGGTACATAAAGTGCAATGTGCATAGCGCAATTTACTTTACAAGATTGTGCAAAGAATTGTGCAAAGAATACATCAGACAGTATGCATGACATTGGGCAAAATAGAACTAGGTTTCCAGATTTGGAGTAGGTGCAGTAGGTACCAGGATGTTGAGGAGTCTGGCACCCTGTGGAAAAAGCTGTAACAGAGTCTGGTGGAGCCTGCCCGTATACTGCAATACCTTTTCCCAGATGGTAGGAGGGCAAAGAGGTTGCTGGAGGGGTGGGAGGGATTGTCCACAAGGAGGAGGGAGGGGGAGGGAGTGTTAGTGTGGTTAGGTTTTAAATAAAAAAAGAAAACTGAATAATAGAGGAAATGAAGGAGCACTTCTCCCCCAAAACCTTCACCTGTCAGTTTCCATTAAAAACCTTTTTTTTTTCTAAAAAATTGCATTAGAATTAAAGTCTGTAGTTTTTATATATAAATTTAGCTTAAAATACTGTATAATTCATTTGCTGTATTTATTTTGTGCAACTTTTTTTGTTCAGCTTTATCAAGATTGAAGCAATTGATTGAATTCAAGCAAGATTGCCAATAATCATGGAGATGACTGTATGTTTAACAGCTGCACTGGCCTGGCTTTCTGAAACGCATCACTCACTCAATCTTCCTTTTGAACAATGTTCCTATTTTTGTCCCAGAATTCTTCATTTCTGGACCGGGCTGACCCAGACTTGCCTGTGTGTGTGGAGCGGACGGTTCTGGTATGGGTACCATTGGGCTTCCTGTGGGTTTGTGCCCCCTGGCACATCGCCACCCTCTTCAAGAAGAGAGCCCAAACAGCACACCTCTCTCGACTCTACCTCTGCAAACAGGTATTGCTCAGAGCCTGAAGGACACAGCTTGGAAAACTGTGTGCTTTTGGTTTAATCATTCTGGCAGGGTCTGATAATTTAATCACCTACTAAATGACATTTAAAAGTGACATGCAAATCACTTTCTATTATGTCAATGTAAGCAAGTGATTAAAATCTCTCTAAGAGGTATGAGAACGTTGTAACCAGTGCTATTGTAACAATTACTGTGCAGACGCAAGAAAGGTTACGAGTAAGAGGAGCCCCTCTGCTCAGTCTTGCACATCTGTCTGTTTTATTGTTATTTATTTTGGATGCCTTTTCTTTCCATAGCAGCATACATTTGTACCCATTTATATGGCTGGGCATTTTGCTGCAGTAATCTTGGTGAAGTACTTTGCTCAAGGTACTTTATTCACCCAGGATTTAAACACCAGTGCTCCAGTATTCATACGCAGCCAATTCAGGCTGAAGCAGATGTGACGTTTAGTGAGGACAAGCCAGAAGGAGTCTCCGCAGTGTCCACACTGAAACGCAACATGAGACATGAAGAAATTATTACAATGTAGGTTTTTGGGATTGATGACGTTTCTAACCTGAAGTGGACCCTGTCTCTAATGGAAAGAAAGGTTATTCTCTCGAGGAATATCTGTAGTATCTGACATTCTGTACAGTACATGATGTAAGTAGTTATTATACCTTTCCTGTCTGTTGTGGTCTTCATGAGGTTTTCTTTCAACATTCCTTATAAGTTATGTTGTGGCTTACTGTGCTGTACATTATAATCATATAAAAAAAGCTTATAAAGCTAATGGGATGGAATGGGATGCAAGCCTTGGAGTCTGTGTCGACCCATGGTGACCCTATGGATAATTCCCCCATCATTATCCATAGAGTTTTCATGGGAAGATACGAAAGCCAGGCCTTTCTTCAGCGCAGATAGTGCAGCTGTTGTTGCCATTGTCACGGAAACGTGATCCTCCGCCACCAACACCATAGAGCTAATAGAGCTAATAAAGCTAATCCATGTAATTCGCTTCTGTAATTTTGTGCATTGACCCGGTGTCTCTTGGTTGTTGTAGACCTGTTGTTTGCTGCCCCTTTTCAGGCGATGGTCAGTCTCCTGTTCCTGACAGCTGTTGCTAGCTTAGCTGTCACGGTGGCAGAGGACTTCGGGCCCCTGAGGGACGAGACCTCCAAAGGAAAAAACCCAGCCGTGCTTTATACCAATCCTGTCCTGTACGCCATATCGTGGGTAAGATGAGACCAGCTGAGGTTCACCATTTACTGCTGGATATAAAATCACATCACCTGTGTGATTAGAGTGGCCCACTACCACAGCACTACATCCAAAATCATCTTCATTTTCAGTCAAAGCTACTTTTATATCTTTTGTAAATAGATATGCAAGTCAGAGAAACCAGCAATTTATGTGAGTCTTAGTCTGAATCAGAGATCCGAAAATCTTCACGAATTTAACATTCTAACACATGTAATCTAAAACACCTTTAAGGTACAGTAAGCTATTGATCAACACAATTTTTTTTCTTATGACCCCGGCATTACAAAGAACAGTTCCCTTGGGTTGACACCCAAGAAGTCTTTTTTAATGAAACAGATGTCCTTTGTTTAGGTTATACTTAAATTTAAATTTTACATGTTCTTTCCTTTATATGAAGACTTTTATGTCACACAGAATGATTTATTATATTTTTAGATAAAACCCACTTGTACCTAAAATTTGTTAAATCAGTTTGTTTCCTGGAATCAGAGTTCATATTCTGCCCTACCAAATGTTAAATAATGATAGTTTTCATATCAATGACAATGTCAAATAATTCCAGAGGACTGTAAAGCTGTTGAGACTGTACTGTGCTAAAGGCTATCACAGAAGACCTCCCTTTAGGCATGCTTGTTAGGGCATGTGCCATGGCGTATCACTGAAGGAAACAGCAGACCTGTTAAATACGTCAGTTCTGACAGCTACCAGAGTTGATTAGAAATGTCTGGTCAATAATAAAATCCACACCAACCAGATTCAGGCACAATTCAAGCCTCAGGAAGGTATTGACCCTCAGGTGCATGATGGATTTTGAGTGGCTGCTATATTTCCATGAAATTCATGGCAACACATGCTGCGCCCATAATCCCATGTGACATATTTAGTCATGAATGGAGCAGTGGAAGGAGTGATTCCAGGTTGATCTGGTTTGAATGGAGCCATGGCAACAGAGTGGTTCCAGAGGGATCCATGGGACATTTGTGGGAGTGCGTTAGATAGACAGCAGATAAAGGAGACAGTGCAGCAGGGATCGTATGGGTACTAACAGGCCACTTGATTTCCCCCTAGCTACTGGTCCTCGTGTGCCAAGAGAGTGTGCGTCGGCGGGGCAAGTCCGGTGACTCTGGAACCCTCTTTCTTTTCTGGATCCTGTCAGTGCTCTGCGAGGTATTCGCCTTCCAGACTCTTCTACGGGAAGCACTGGCACAGGTAAAGGAAAGTGATCGTGTTGAATTTGACCACACCCTTCGACAGCTCATTGGCTGATGCACCTCTGCTCGTCTGTCTCTCTGTCTTGCGCTTGTTGCGGTCCACAGGGTAGCATTCCTGATGTGCCACGGTTCTGCCTGTTCTACATCTCCTATGGCCTCCAGGTGATCTGCCTCATCCTGTCGTCTTTTGCTGATGTCTCCCCAGAATCCTTTGGCAATATTAAAAAGGTATCAGTTTATGGCTTTAAGCTTTATACCTTGTACACAACTAAAAGAAACAATATTGTGACTTGGACCTGTAGGGCAGATGAGAATAAATTAAATGGTTAGTGTTCCAAAGTGCTCCCTAGACATTAGAACTGCCTAACACTTGAAAGATTATTGATGATCTTGATGTTGTGGGTTCAAGCTTGATTCATGTCACTAACTAATCGTGACTAGGACTCCCCAAGCAGTAGCACACAACTGTCTTGTCATTGGCAATGGGTGGGTAGGATTAACTGGCCAGGGCATTCTTGGCTCCTGATATCACTGTGACCCCTAGGGCATGGCAGCTGGTGCTGTTATATGATTAGGGACATGCCTCTCCTGTATCCGGTGTCCTTTACCCTGTATCTGTTGTCCAGTTCTCATATCATCCCAATTAATGTAGCAGTAACCCACTCACTATCTCTTCCTGTATAGTGAAAACTCCAGAGACCAATGATTTAGACCAGTGTCATGAATATCTATTGAGACACATTTGTTTTGTTTCAGCATTTGAATAATTTCAGCAACTACATCATTTAACCCTTGGATTATAAAGAATATTTCTTTCGTATATGTTAGCCTATTTCTATATTGTTTGATGCCTAGGACTAGGCAGTGCTTACAGCTGAACTCAGGTGTCACCAGAAGCGATGAATGCATATAAGGGATGTATTTACAGTGGCATCAATGGACTAGAATTTAGATTTAATTAAAATTACAATGGGTTTAATTTCTTTACAATTTCAATTTCTGGAGGAAATAAGAAACAGTATTCCTAGTTTCCTCAGGTACTGGGGATGTGGACTACAGAAGATAATAGTGTAGAATTAGGATGTCGATTTATCAGCAGTGTTGTGGACACTAAGGGCAGAGAAGCTTTTTAAGAGTGTAATCAATGAGCAATATTTGAAGGTGATAAAGGAATAAGAAAACCTTGTTTTGGTTTCAGAATCCAGAGGCAGGAGCTTCATTTCTCAGCAGAATCACTTACAATTGGTTCAACAGGTATGATGACCTCTCTTCTTTTTCTCTCAGGCCATTACTGTGTTCCAGATGCGGCATAGGCAGTGCTAAAATTACACAGGCAAAGCGTGTCCACCTGGATTGCGCACTTCACTCTGAGGATTCACACATCTCTTAATCAGTCTTAAGAGACTGATTAAGCACTGCCAGGCAATATACTGTATATTCCACCCAGTTTGCTTTGTTTGGAGTCATCTGGGCACGAGAGACACATTCCGACCCACTCTGGGGTGGGAGTGTGATAAAGGCAAACAGTTTAACCGTTCTGGGCCCTTCATAATCCAGCCCATTCCTAAATGTCTGTCAACAAAACCACAAGGGGTTTTTGCTTATTTAATCACACCAACACTAATACTTCTAAGAGATTGTAAAAGCTTTATTTAATAATACTACAGCAACCCCGCCCCCCCTTAGTTTCCCTTGCAGAATCAGCTATGCTTGAAGAGAGGCGAGGGATGGTACCACAGACCCATGAGAATGAGTTTTATCTCAACTGAAAGATTAAGGGCACCTTCTACAGTGCATGCAGTGTCCTCTGTCATCTTACTAAGGCACTGCTTTGCCATATCTGATCCACAGCAAAGATACACACTCTGGTCCATTAGCTGTGCTTCCAATAGGAATCTAGATTTCCTCTGATGATTCCTCATCCAACTCCTGTGTTCCTTTCAGCTTGATGTGATTGGATTTCGAGGACATTTTAAGGGCTCTTGTGTGCTTTCCCACAGTATGGTTGTAAAGGGCTATAAGAGGCCCCTGGTAGAAGAGGACCTATGGGAGCTCAATCAATCTGATGCCACTCAGACCATCTATGGCAAGTTTGAGAAGAGGATGAACTGGGAGTTGAGGAAGGCCCGAGGCAAGCTGGAGAGGAAGAAGAGGGACCGGAAGGTGGAGGCACAACAGAATGGATTATCCAAAGGCGTCAGCCAGGATGTACTGGTGATGGTACGAGTGACTGCAGCCCTACCACAATGAGCTAAACAACATCAACATGCAGTAGTTCTGTTGAGACAGTGATATGTCATGTAGTACTGAAGTAATAGCAATTTCATAGAGCTGGTGAAAGGGATGCTTTATTTTCATTATTTTCTTCATTCTTCACTGAGTTATGTACCCTTAGGGCAGTCCTTTGCACTGCAATTTTGAATAGTCCATGGGAGACCAGGTCTATTAGTTATGAGCCACAATTCAGAGGTTTCTGCACTTTTAACAATTTTGTTCACCTTTGAGTCTAATATGATATATTAAGCAATTTATACTGTATATTACTTATCTGAATTCAGCCCAGACATTTCTACTGTGGTCATGGAAGGATGCAGATGCAAGATGTTCTTTACAAATAATTTCTAAAGAACTTTAATAATCTGTTTAGTCCATCCAAATGAGATAATCCTGGGGGTGTAGTGACCTGTTAGAGCTGCTGTACTGTGGTGATCTACAGTACCTCTTTCATGATTAACCTTCACAGAAAATCAAAAATGAAAAGGTCAACAGCAGTATGTCCACTGCTATATAATTCTGGGAATCGTGGCTGCTGTCTAGTAGTATTTATTTTGATTACAAATAAAACATTTTGAGACAGATTCAGAAATGTACACGAACATTGGACATCTTTCTCTTCATCAAATGACTGCTATTATTTATGGTTTGGGGGTGGGCTTTTAGATCTTGTGCTTGTGGTCTGTAGGAGGAGAAGGGAAAGAAAAAAGTAAAGCAAAAGCAGAAGGAGAAAAGGAGTTACGCCCAATCCTGGCTCATCTCCTCCCTGATGAAGACTTTCAAGTGGGTGCTGGTTGAGTCGGCAGTCTTGAAGCTGTTGCAGGACCTGCTGACCTTTGTCAGCCCGCAGCTATTAAAGTAAGTCCCTGAGACACTGCCCAGACTGCCTGGACAGAGCTACCTACAGTATGGTAGGCAGATATACAGTACTGTATAGTTAGAAATAAATGGAATAGAATAAAGTACATGATCAATATTTGGAGGGAGAGAAAAAAAAACTCAGAACATTATCATGTTAATTGCAAAACACTAATCATGCAACACTTGTTAGCCTTCTAACTTAAAATTTCTCTTAAATCAGTGCTGTCAGTGTTACATCTTCTTGAAGTTAAACAGCTTTACCAAGGGAGGAAACATTCAGCAAAAACAGTTACATACAGTGCTTCTGATTGTTTGCCAAAAGATGCACATCCCCTAACAGTGACTTTTGTTTTGTCACAGGCTAATGGTCTCCTTCACACAGGACTCTTCCATGCATACATGGCAGGGATATGTTTATGCAATCTTGCTGCTGCTGGTGACAATCCTGCAGTCTGTGTTATTACAGCAGTATTTCCACCGCTGTTTCGTCCTGGGAATGCAAGTACGCACTGCCATCATGGCTGCTGTCTACAAGAAGGTATGATGTTCACTTCCTCAACTGTCACTCAGATCAGACTGTGTCATATTCAGAATCCTGCATTGCTGTGCAAGGTTCACACCTGGTTTTATTAATCAGTCCATCCATTATCGGAAAGCAGCTACATCCTGGTAGGGGTTGTAGCTACCTTGGGCCTACTCCAAAAGCATAGGGCCCAAGGCAAGCCACATCCTGGATGGGAAGCCAGTCCATCATAAATCAATATTTTAGAGGCACAAATTAAACTATCTGGTATGAAAATAGAGCAAAACCATATACAGTAAGTACAAGTGTCAGATATCAAGAAAATCCACACAGAAGATGCCCCAATCCAATTGAATGTAGGTAGTGTGAGGCGTTTATGTAGTGAGAAAAGCAAATTCATAAAGCTAAGAAAGAATCATGTGGAATCTTTCAGAGTATCTGTGGAGGGCTCTGGAATTTATGGCCACTTGCATATGAAATATTAAATACTTTTGTTAATTAATTCATACTATACAAATACCTATTGTCTCAGTTTATGCCTGTTGTCAGAACTCCATTCTCCATATTTTCTAAATCAGGCTTCTGGTAATGGAATGATGTATTACTAATAAATATAAAAAAGATTATTTCTCAAAAATTACACTTTGAATAGCGTGACTGCTGGGAGACCACAAGATGATTAACCAACCCTTGTGGAGTAGTTTCAAATTTTATCTTTGATATACGGATTATAGTCTGAAAATATAATTTCAGCAAATTTAGCATAGTAACACATCTGCCAATAAACTTCTGTCTTACAGCATTTATAAAAGGGTTTGTAAGAAAAATAAATGTAAGCAAAGTACGTACTGTAGCTGTGTTAATACACCTTAAAAATACACCTTATAAAGTAAAAAGCAGATTCCCCCAAATGTATGTTTATATACTGTACACCCTGTTTGTAACCATTCCCAATTGTTATTTCAGTTTATAGGTTTGAACTATGTTTTAATTTCAAGATATCAATTGAAAGAGTGGAGATGTCTCCCTGGGGCTTCTATGTGGCATTGCACACAGCTGCTTGAGAAAGAACCTTAGATAGAGTATGCGCCTCGATCTCTAGTGTCACAGCAGATGGAGGTGAACTCCGGCTTCTGTAAACATTGAACTGGGTTGAATGACAAATGTCAGTTGTAAAAATGGAGGCTACAAAAACAACAAAAAGAGTTTTGGCAAAAACTCAAACGCTTGTCCGCAGAGCTCATTGAATGTTATGTGGCTGCAGTGTGCAGTCGGTGATGGTGCTGTGTACCCTCTCCCAGGCCCTGGTGGTATCCAGCGATGCGAGGAAAGAGTCGACGATGGGCGAGACAGTGAACCTGATGTCGGCTGATGCCCAGCGCTTCAATGATGTCACCAACTTCATCCACCTGCTGTGGTCCTGCCCCCTGCAGATCATCCTGGCCATTGTGTTCCTGTGGCTGGAGCTGGGCTACGCCGTGCTGGCTGGACTGGGGGTCATGGTGCTGATGGTCCCTATCAATGGCCTGCTGGCAACCAAGTCCAAAGGCTTCCAGGTGTGGTGGCTTCTCAGTCTCATTCTCATCCTGTAATGAGAAATAAATCATATTCTGGACGTGGGCTGGATGGTAATGGGCTTAGCGGTATATAGTACAGTATCCATATCCATTCTTCAGTTCTTCAAGGTTTTAACATTAAAGCATAAAATGAAACATCTCTCTTTAGTGATGAAATAAAATGAACCAGTCCTCAACCAAGCTTTCCTTTTTTTATTGTCCTCTCTACCTATTGTGCTCATGAAATAACGTTATTTAAATATTCTGCAAATATTTCCTAAAATAGTGAAATGGTTTGGGAATTTTCAGTAGTAGCACATGTTATTTGATAAACAAAAGTTGATGGAATCTTTTTCAAACAGTTATGTGAGGACTATAATTATAAACTGGCACTAGACTCACCTGTAGAACTGTACTTTTACTTGGATAGACGGATACATCTTAAAATCTGAATATTGTAAAAACAATTCAGTTGAAGTTATTAGAAGTTTACAGTGCAAAGATCCTCCTTATCAGATATTATAACTTTCTTGGATTTATTGGGACTCTTATTTGATGGATCATTACCACCTCAGAATAATTTGTTTATGAATCTTCCTGCTTACTTATCCTAGTTTGCAATAGGTGCCATTACCTGTTAACTTGACAACACTACCTGAGCATATTTAAGAGTGCTTGGGTACTGAATGTCAAATGCTATTTGAGTATATTCAAAGGAAAATATTTCTCCACATTAGTGGATCTCTTCACCACTAGTCATGGGGTGGTTATTTGTCTCATTGAATATTCATTGTCCAGTATATTCATGTCCTCATGTTTCAGATGAAAAACATGCAATATAAAGACAAGCGTATGAAGATCATGAATGAAATTCTCAACGGCATCAAGGTAATGTTCCTCTTTCTCCTTGTCTGCTTCTTTCCCAGCTTTGGGAAAAGGACATGCCAAAATATCCACAAACAAAATAGTTTTGATCTGATTTGATTTGATCAAAAAAAGATCCCATAGTACAGTTCATAAGAGTAGGGGTGCAAATTTCACCCTGGGATGCTACAATCTGATTTGCTTTTGTTTCAAATAAAGTAGTTTTTCAATTCTTAGTCTAACCTGTTGTGTAGTGGGGCTGTTGGTACATAACGTTAAATGTTGAATTGCCATTTGCCTTATGAATCTTTACAGTCATAAAATGTCTTTCAGTATAGTCCATTTCTGAAGGGATGTGGCCAGAGGTCTACTGTATGCAGGTTAATGCGTGTCAGTAACAGTGTTATGAGTATTGGTCTCCTACACATTCTCTTCCTGTGTGATTCAGATCCTCAAACTCTATGCCTGGGAGCCCTCCTTCGAAGCCCAGGTCCAGGAAATCAGAGACAAGGAGCTGAAAGTGATGCGTAACTTTGCCTACTTGGCCTCAGTTTCTACATTCATATTCTACTGCGCACCAGCTCTGGTGAGTTACTGTGAGGGAAGTATTAGGGGTGGCTTTTTATGCAGGAACACCATTATTAAAGTACATTTTTTGAAAGTATGTTTAAGAGTGCCTGGGTACTATATGTCAAATGCTATTTGAGTATATTCAAAGGAAAATATTTAAAAATGTTATTTTTAAAATATTTCTGAATTTACAATCAATGTACTATTGCCATATAGCTTGTCAGGGCTGTTGTAGCAGGATATCACCAGTTGTCAGAAGGTTGAAGACACTCTGCTCTACCTTGGCCCCAGGGTGCACCTAATAGGGGACAAGATCATTTCAGAAATGGTCACACTTGATTTTCTTTGAAAGCCATACAGGGCAAGGCTGTGTGGTGAGGCAGAATTATAGCCAGTGCTCTTCTACCTTCTCAGTATTATGAGGAAGAATAATTAGAAAACTTCCGAATTTCATGCTCATTCTTGTACTAAGTTTGTTAAATTTGTTTCTCACTGCACATTGTTACCTGATAAGTCCTTTGTGTCTCATTGGCTTACCCCGATTTCAGCAGTGTATCAATAATCAAAAATAAATTGGGATAAAATGGCAGCTCTGGGTCTCCCATGTGGGTGCTGCACTTTAGTGGAGGATAAAGTGGGTCCCGTCCTGTTGTCATGCTGAGTGTTTGAATGGTGACGTTCTCCTCTCCTGCAGGTGTCCTTGGTGAGCTTCGCTGTGTTTGTCTTGGCCAGTCCTGATAACATCCTGACCGCAGAGAAAGCCTTCACTTCCATCTCCCTCTTCAACATCCTGCGCTTCCCCCTGGCCATGCTGCCCATGCTTATTTCCTCCATGGTGCAGGTGAGCTCTCGCACTTGCACGCCCTCTGTCACAAATACACAGGCAAGAAGGCTAACCGCCACACCTCACGTGTGCACGCTTGCTAAAACATTCCCCAACATATATGCACAGAAACACTGAAGGACAAAAGCACGGTAGAACTAGGCACACACAGAATATTTCTAGCTGTCACCAATTATTTTTTTATGTTTTTTGACAATTAGGAATCTTAACACTGATGTTTCTGGCCTTCTGTATCTGATTTCAGACGGGTGTCTCTCTGAAACGCCTGGAGAAATTCCTAGGCAGTGATGACCTGGATACCACAGCAGTGCGCCATGACACCAGTTTCAGTGAGTGAGCAGCAAGCGTGGATAAAATTCAGAATTCCTAATTTTCCTAAGCTCTTTTTCATTACATGTGTTTTTAATGCTTATTTAATATGTTGTAACAAGTGAAGTTGGCCAGCAAAATACTGAATTCTAGACCCCAGCTAAAACATTACAACTGTCTCTAAATAAGGTTGTGTTGTGGAAAATTGCAGATTTCATTCAATTTTTAAAAAGGAACATCCCCAAACAAGGGGGACTGTCCAGTTTGCTTGGAAACTTCTGTATATTGTACAATTACAAGTCAAGGGACTAACCATGATGAATGGTTAGGGCCCTGTTTCCCACCAGAGTTCAGTTTCCCACCATGGACACTTCTGTCGTGTACTTCATCCAGTCTGCACTGTTTAAAACATGGGCTGCAGAGTTGCTGTGGGTAACCCTGCAATTAACTGAAGTTCCATTGAGGGGGGGTGTCCTATACTCTTTGTCCACTTAATGACACAGAAAAGTAGATAACCTTCAGTCTGAGAAGCCAACAGGTCCGAATATGAACTTTCCAAACTGAGGTACTACAATGCACCTGGAAAGATGATTATAAAGTAACAGATTTTGTAAATGGAACAGAACTGAATTGTTTTTGGGGATTGGGGGAATGACAGAAGGAGCTCCCATGTTCTCTGTATTCTTTCCAGACACGGCTGTGAGCGTCTGTGGTGCTACTTTCTCCTGGGAGAAGAGTGCAGATCCGGTTTTGAAGAAGTGTGTTCTTTCAATTTTTCCTGACAGCTTTACCATACTGAGATAAAAAATGATTTCACACATTATAATCAATGGACTTGTCTGAAATCAGTATCTTTGACATTGCGTTCAATCAGTGCAGAACAGAAATGAAAAGGACACATGCAAAGGTTTTCCTTCACACCTGATGTGTTTTCTGAACAGTGACAAAGTTTAAACTGGCTCTACCAGTTTCAGTCCATTTGAGCTCTCAGTACCTCCCTTGAACCCTTCATTGAGCTACTAATTTGATAAATTTAATCATTTTAACTAGTGTTTTTTTAATAGATTCACAATTTGCAGTTATGACTGTCAATTCAGTTAATTCAAGGAAGTAGCTGAGAGCTGATTTGAACTGGAAACAGGTGGACAGTAGGCTGGGTACTTCAAGGAAAAGGGGTTTAGAAATTCAGGACACTAGAGGAGAGTAGACATGCTCATCTCCTAAATCTGCACCAGAGGGTGCTGTTTATTCTGGGATGTGTGTTTCCTGAGTTCTCGTTATGTCCGAGCAGACCCAGTCTATACTCAGGACAGCAGAAGCTATGGGAAATTTAACTGCAGGTTTATACAATACCATTGAGCAGTTTGTAATAAATGCTGCCTGCCTTTACTTATGCAAAAATGCAAGTGAGGGTACATACTGTACTGAAGCAAAACTAAATCTGTAACTAATTGTTGAAACATTCTTTCTGGATAGTAAAATAGCATGTTACAGTATTTGGAAGAAGGCTCCACAGCCAAAACGTTGTGTTTTTTTTCTTCTTCTTTTTTTTTCAGCATAGAATAAACCTATTACTTGTTCCTGTTACAGTATTTGTCACACATAAGACCATATTTAGAATGTTTTATTTGCCAGTTCTGGGTTCCATGTTTCACATCACAATTTCTTCTTGTTATAGGTGCCTTTTTGAAATGCTCATTTCTGTGTAATAGTGAACAGCAAAATGAATAAGAATATTAATAACCAATGTAGCCTTTATGAAATCACTCTAGACATGTTCCACAGTCGTATCTTTCTCTGAGTGGAAGTCCGTTGCTTTAAAATGATGATTGATAGAGACAGCGTTTTTATTATCAAGTTTGTAGCTGCAATAAGTTGCACTTCTCCTCATAAAAAAGATGAAAGAATATTCTGCTGACTCCAGAGTTAACGAGAAACTTGTTCATTCTGGAAATTAAAAATGATTAAGTCTGACGCTGCATACAATTTTTAAATACCACTAAACAACATTTAGAAATGAGTGGAAACTTAAAAAAAAATCTACACTGATGCTGGCCAACAGCTTTTTCAATTGTTAATGTGTAGAATAAAGAATGAAGATGACTCTGTGGAAGCCAATGAGATACTGGGGTACAGTCTCTTTGCAGGAGAATGGTGACGGGATGATGTCATGCTCTTGTGAAGAAACTTTCCCATCTTTTCAGTTTATATTTCTAGAACAGCATTTTGTATCATTTTTTTTTACTATCGTTTTACCCTTTTTTGGCATGTGCTTTTCTTAATTGTAACTGCAATAGCAGCAGTAGTGTAACACTGCAATTCTACTCTATGCTTGTGTCTGTCTCTCAGTGTGTGTCTGGACATCACGCCCGGCCGGCTGGTGGCAGTGGTGGGAGCAGTGGGATCTGGGAAGTCCTCTCTGGTATCAGCTATTCTGGGAGAAATGCACACGATCAGAGGCTACGTGAACATTAAGGTAATGGACTAGGTCTCCTGTGGAGTTATAATTAATGGGAACGACAGGCAAGCTGTTGTTGAATCCCATACTGTATGTATTTTCAAACAAGTGCATACTGTATGTATTGCTGATTGCTTATTCTAAATTAAGATCTTTTTTTTAAAGAATAAAATACTACTTAAGTCTGCTACAATGTTGTTTAGTTTCCACAGGCAAAGGTGTACAGAGCACTGCTGTGGATGGCCTACACCTCCTTTGTTTCCTACAAAGTGACTCTTGGGACCTTGCAGGGTGCCTGCTAGCTTGTAGTGATGAAAGTGACAGACACACCTCTTATGGTACTGCTAACACAGTGTAAAGCATAGTGGAATCCAGAGTCTTCAAAGAGATGAATGGTTCTGGCAGGTGGACCATGTGAGGGGGACCATGAATAGGTCCTCACCCCACCAGTGCTGTACTGAAGTTGTGGTGGGAAATAGGAATTGATGAATTGTCGATGATTCCAAATTTGGTGGTTGTAAAATACAGCATAATTTGTTGAAACTAAATATACAGTACTGAAGATAACTTGTGAATTGTGTTTAAGGCAGTTTTCCAAGGTGAGCTGAGGCAAGTGGATTTCTCATTAAACTATCAGTGTACCACCAACAGGCAGATATTTCAGTCTTTTATATCCATGAAAAATCTTATACTTGCCTTACACATTTTTCATACAACTTTATCTACACAACTTTGCTGCAGCCTAGACTACAAACAGGTTGAAATCTGTTGTGCAAGAAGTATAGTAACTGCAAGTTTTTTAGGTAAATTTGCAGCAGTAGTTTTCAGAGGCTTGGAGAGTAAGTACTGTATATTAAACTCTTTATCTAAACTACAGCCTCTCTCAGTTATTACTTTGCCTACTGGGACAGTGAGATACAGCCAGAAAATTTAAAACCTTTCCTGCATTCAACAAATGGGTAAAATAATTACAATAAATTACCCTGGCTGGGCATCTTCCATCAATTCACGTACAAATGAAAGCACTCTCTGTGGTCTTCCTCCTAGTTGTACACACTTCACATAAAAATAAACACTCCTACAGTCTTGCCCATTGTTTTCTCTACAGGTAATCCTATACAAAATCGGATGATTCAGGTTTACATCAGAGATTTCTATAAATAAAGTTTTGTTTCAGGATTGATTTTCTGACTAATTTGGCCAAATGAAATGCTGAATCAATTGTCCTTAGACGATATTTCAAATCTCTTAAATACCTACTATTTTATTCATTATCATTAACGTAGGATTCTCACCATTATTCAGTTCTTTCAAATCTTCAGCCAGACAGAACAGATATCCTAGATGTTCTGGTCTGGAAATGAGAAGGAAAACATGAAAACCAAGATAATGATAATGGCATTAACTCTTTTGTTTAGGGTCAGGGACAGGTCTGACCCATGCCTTATGTGGATGAGGTCCTCTCTAGTGAGACTCAAATAAGTCTTATAGCCACCTAAGTGAAGTGGTCTGGTCTTTGCAGGGCTCTTTGGCCTATGTGCCCCAGCAAGCATGGATTCAGAATGCTACGCTGAAAGATAATATCCTGTTTGGGTCGGCGCTGCATGAGGAAAGGTACCAGTCAGTGCTGGAGTCTTGTGCTCTGCTGCCTGACCTGGATCTGCTGCCTGGGGCTGACCAGACAGAGATTGGGGAGAAGGTAAGGAGACATGCTGTGTAGTCTGAGTGTCATCTGGGCAGTAGAATGGAGAGCAGGGTCACATATGTACAACATGTGGACAACAGGAAACAGAAATAGCAGTAAGACGTCTTTATGTGTCACAAGTAAAGATGATCCCTGCTTCATGATGGTTGCTGGGGTATCATGAATGTCCTCAAAAGGTTCCAGGAAGGTTTCTGATTTTATTGTGTGGGTGGAAAAGATGAGCAAATGCAACCAAATGCAGTGACCATGTACTGTGTTGTACAGGGAATAAACCTTAGTGGGGGCCAGAAACAGCGGGTCAGTCTGGCCAGGGCAGCCTACAGCTCAGCTGACATCTTTCTGCTGGATGACCCCCTGTCCGCAGTGGATGCTCATGTGGGAAAACATCTGTTCGAGAAAGTGGTGGGACCGAAGGGGCTGCTCAAGGACAAGGTCAGTGTTGCACCTTCACTGTATCACCAATCATCTTCAAGAGCAAGTTCACCACAGGCTGGTCTGAGGTGGAGCGCAGAGTGATCTGAGTTTCCTGCTGGCCTAAGGAGGCCTCCTTTCACTCTTGACTCTGGACTGGAATGGTCTGTTACACTAATTAGAGACCAGAGACCTATCGAATATTGTCTTGTGTTAATAAAGCCAATATGTAACTCAATCCCTTAAAGACTCATCTAAACCAGAAACACACCCTCTCCAATGATATAGTTCTGTACTGTATGTCTGAGTTCTGCTCTAGGGTATCTTACTAATTCTAGATTCTATATCATGGTTAATTGTTCTCAACCTGAGTTAATAACAAATTAATTTAAGAGGGTGATGGATGATGTACAGTACAGTAATATGGCCCTGTCATATCAGGTGAAAAAGACCACCGAGGTTTGACTAAATCCACAGTTAATTAAAAATTGTTTGAATTAATTATTTTGCTCTTAACACAGAATGATCACTACATTGCATTGTTATTCTTATTATAATTGAATAAACTTCAGTATTGACTATGGATTTTATCAAGTGATCATAACTGAGAGCTCATGTTCTTTAAGTTATTCTTCAGAGCACTTGACAGTCCAAGTAGTTTTTCATGGTTAAGAGCAGTAATAAAATAAATTATTATAATTTAAATTAAATTAATAAATTTTGTACTCATCTAATTTACAAAATCAAAGACATTTTTACAGTATGGCAGAAAGACCCATTCATGGTCCTACCCAACAAATTCAAAATAATAAGTTACTACCAATGAACAAAATAATTCTTCCTTTAAAATATTTCCGTACTAAATCATTTTTACTTGTTGCTCATTTTAATGTGGCAGGACTTTGTTATTATACACTCCAGTCATGCCAACCCTCTTTCTCTGCAGACTCGTATACTGGTGACACATGGAGTGAGCTTCCTCCCGTACATGGATGAAATTGTGGTGCTGGTGGATGGAGAGGTGTCTGAAATAGGCTCCTACAGCAGCCTGTGTAACAGTGGAGGAGCCTTCTCCAAGTTCCTGAGCACCTACGCCAAAGAAAACAACACTAAAATCTCACAACAGCAGGGTGAGTGGTACTGTACTTCTGTTACTTCAACGCTAACAGCACTGAAAAACCTCTGTTTTTCTACACTTCAATTATGCCACACGACCTTATCTTATGATAATGTACAGTAGGATAGGACGGTTCTGGATAATACTCAAAGTAAAAGGGTTTAACACTTAAAATGACAGATTAGCCTCCTGAGATCCTGATAGGAACCACAACTGAGGAACACCAGAAGCATTAGGGGGACAAAGTAAAAGAAAGATTGAAATTGCTTGTGAGAATTAAACTAATCAGGAAAGACAGTTCATTGGAAGCAGTATATACTGTCGTTTAAGAGACACAGCCAGGACAGGTCCTCAGAAGAGAAATCTCTTCTTCTAGTTAAAAGCTCCTGAGCTAGTAAAACCTCTGTAGGAGGCGAAAACAAAGAGACAGACTCTCCGGGAATAGAAAGGGGAGAAATTGGGCTCCAAGATGAAGATCTGATCTAGTGGATGTGCCGCTGTCATCTCCTGAAAAGCAGTAGTTGAGGTTGGCTGATAGTCCTGAGAGGATGATCGAACTGAGAAAAAGAGACTGTACAGATGGCATCTCAGTAATGGGACAGGGTATCCTCAGAAGGACCAGTATCCTCTGCCTGTCTTTGCCACAGCTATAGAGGAAGGAACTTCTCTAATACAGAAAGAACCTGTATGGACGGTTTTTAATACGCAATAAATTAAAATAGAGGTCTAATAATGGGGTCATTGAAACAGTCTTGTCATGTCGTCTCTCTGTGCAGATGGAGTACTAGAGGGAGAAGAGCAAGATGTGCTACCTGATTCCCCGGAGCCCCAGGTGGACAGCCCTCCTGAAGACATAGTGTCTGTGACACTGAAGAGGGAGACCAGCCTGCGTCGCAGCCAGCGCAACGGCAGGTAGGGTGAATGGACAGACAGATCAGCCAGATCACCTGACCACCGCTTTCTAAGGCTTTGCTCCGCTGTGTCTCGCATTCCCTGGTGTAGAATTACAACCCATCTGTTTGACATTAGTTATCAAACCAGATTGTGGATGTTAGCAGGCTGGGGTTTGTTAAAATTCAAGCCTGCTTCACTGGCATAATGAGCTCTGAAGAACTGATTGGCAATGTTTCTTAATATTTTCTAATACTCTCGTAGTACAGCAGTGTTGAAGGAGAACAGCATTAAATAATTCATTTGCATTTTATTTACCTTTATACTCCAGAGATTTAACAGTTGATATATTGTCATTGTAGAGCAGTTTTGATCCACAAGGTTTCAATACTGTTCATACAGTATGAAGCCTGCAAGAGGGCAGCATTTACTGTAAGACAATATGTAACATAATATGAGACATTAACAAGCTTAAGCTTACAGCAGTATTAGCAGTGTTGCAGTGAGTCTAAGATGTGTGTCTTCTCTTCTTAAATGTGTCTGGGCGTACTGTATGTAACAAACTACGGAGCCATTGTAAACACAGTACCTTGACCTCTTGCTGAGGCGTTGATGAGATTGATTAACCATTAAAAGGCCAGATGGGCCAAGTGGCATCCACTCATTTCTCACCCTTCTTGTGCAGTGTGAAGCAGAGCAGACGCACCTCACAGAGGAAGTCCACTGAGGTGAAGACAGGCCAGCGACTGATAGAGAAGGAAGCAATGGAAACGGGACAGGTACAGTATGGAGTTCTTTCCATTTGCTTGTCTTGCTCCTGCAGTCTCCCTATAAACTCTTCTGCCATTATTTAGGTAGCCACAAACAGGTCACTTAGTACACTTATGTACAGTATGTGTTTCTTTGAAAAATAAAAATGTCCATCTCAAAAATCCAGAATCAAACACCATCACTTCTGAAATATCAGGACTACTACCAATATCGCCCCTGCTCTGGTCTGTAATGAATCAGTGAGTTCCAGTGCTTAAATGTTGTATTGCTTTATGTTTGTGCTGCTATTATTCCTCAAATACATTTTCAGAAATCTGCCTTTTTTTCATTCATTAGTTCTGTCAGTCCCTTAATTAAGGGAGAGAGAATATATGATTAGCATAGTCAGCTTCAAGCGAAGAAAAATCCATCCATATGGATGGGTTATCAGTATTCAGAAATGAAGAAGGGGGTTGCCAAAGATTTCTCCATGCTGAAGGGAACGGACATCCAAAAGTCAAGGTTTAAGGAGCTCTGGTGGAGAAACATTAAGTGCTAGAAACTCATCTGGCAAATGAAGAATGGAGGGGAACTTGAAGTTGTAACAGAATACTTCTGAGAGTGTGAGAAAGCTTTGAGCTGGTGTGAAAGGTGAAAGAAAATGGTCTGTGAAATATAATTTTGGTTTAGTTTTGAGGTGCCTGAGGTTGACAATAGGCATTTATCTAAAGGCATTAGCGATGACGGTTGTCACAAGGTAAGCATTTCATCCTGCTCCTCCTAGTGCAGGGGAAAGGACAACCAGTTAATGTTAGGAACAGGGAGTGGAGAGAATGGGAGGTGGATGATGAGTTATGTAGTGTGCTCTCTGAAGGCACCAGTTCTGTAGGGTTTGGGCATTTACTGGGACAATTATTAATTGTAGCAGTAAATCACAAAATTGATTCTTTTGATGGCCTTAGAATCCAACCATGCGATATAACTCAAACAACGCACACACACAGGTACTAATACAAGAGGATACATTTATTAATACATAGAATATCCATATAAACCTAACAGATCTTATCGAGAGGGTTATCAGAATACAAAAGATATATATTCAGTCAGTTACGAAGAGTTACAGTACATATATCAAGAGGACATACGTTCAGTATATCATTCATTTAGACCGTTTCGTAATTGAACTTGGTTATAACTTCTACATTAGATACTCAAAACAAGTACATAACTCTTAGGAATTAAATTGATATCAACTGGTTGGGATAACAATTGAATTCTCGAGCAGTAATGCAGTGAAGTTGAATACTCATCCAATCTTTGGGGATTCAGATCTCCTGCGGGCACAAAGAAACAGTTGCAGGCTGTTGCTGTCCAATCCGCGCTCTCTGGCTCGGTGCCAGGCTGTGCTGTGCTGCTTGCGACGGTGCGCTGCTGATGCTCACTGTTGGCTTTAACTAGCAAAGTTTGTGCACAGGAGAAAAGATGACTGTGGGTCCCAGCAAGTCAGGAAGAGGACCGGTTCGTTCCTGATGAAGCGCTAGTTCTGAATACTGATTCAGCTGTCCACAGTTCCGACCTGTTCACGAGGCTTGCTGCTGGTGCTAACCTCGGGTGGATCCTCTGGTTACTCTCTGGCAACCTCTGCTCTCGACTCTTAGAACAAAAGAAAGTTCTGGCACTCGGACACACTGGCCGTTCCGTGGTTGTCCGGGCTGAGTCTCAGGATGGTCAGGAGGCGCGCTGTGAGAATGTCCTGCCCTTGGGAGCCTTCTGCTCCTGGGCCGTCCTGCCCTGGAATTCTCCTTTGAATTCCCTTTAGAAAAGTCCACAGAATCCTACACTGAATCTCCCAGGCTCTCTGTGTTGCCTGTTTTTACCTGGAGGAACTTCAGCTCGTTGATTGGCTGAAAGTTCCATGGGCATCAGAGTCCCACGTGGGTTATTCGTCCCTACCAGTCCCTGATTGGTTGATCAAGGTGAGATATGAGTCACTTACTCCTGACACCTAGGAATGCAGTCCAGATGTCCATCTGGCACTCCCTAGACAGATAGGCGCCAATGGATGACCATTGATCATGATAGCCAGGCTTAGCTAAGTGCATCCCCATTTGGGAGCTGTCCCTTATCAAAAGAAAATATCTTTAAATCAGCCTGCATGAATAGTTTCTCTGTGGCTGCACCACAGAGATGAACAGAGAGATGAGGCCTCATTTGGGAAAGCACAGAAACACTTAATTCTGTCTTATTAACAAGCATTGCCGCTACAGGTACATTTAACCAAAATATGTGAGGGTGGCCACACATAGAGGGCTAATCTTGAAGTGTATATAGGGAAGAATGGGAAAGAGAGCAACAAGGAAAAGTGGAATCAGCTGCTGAACAGGCTCCTGGGGAACAGGGCAAGAGGTGTGCAGTTATTCTATTGATGCAGGCAGGGAACAGTCTGAGCTGAGGCAGAACCGGTGCAGAGCTGGAGCCGAAGGTACTATAACATGATGACCTACAGTAATTTATGTATTGTGGGCAGTAGCTGAAAGTGAAGGAAGGGGAGTGTGGAGCTGGGAGACGTACAGTGAGTCCATAGATGAAGGAAGGCAGTGGCCTGAGCCAAAAATACAGGCGGCGAAACTAGAGCCGGGCAGAGGAACTGCTGAAGTGAGGCAGGTATCCAGGAGGAAGCAGGATGCTTGGTTGAGAATTTAAGATTGGGGAAAAAGATTGGAGCCTCTGGCGCCTGGAGCAAAAGACAAAATAGAACAAAAAAGTCTTCCCCTAACGTGAAGTACTTGTTGCAGATCAAAACTGAAAATCCCATGTTAGTTAAGAAAATATACTACAAAATATGTATTAACAGATTTGATTAACTTGTAGCCAACATAACTGAATATTTATTGGAATTATCAGTAATGATGCTACAGGTAAAAATAATAAAGTAAACTATTTCCCCTCACTTAATATTCTAAGTCTGTATTTAAACTTTATACTCGTGGTATTGGTGTTTTTATATCATGAGGTTTATAACACCTGTAATAGACAGGAGTGAAACAGATATTTTTTTGTTCTGGAGACAGAAGACAAAAGCTCATTAGCTAATTTAATTAAATGCAATTTTGTGATAAAAATTTTGTGACAGAAACATGAATGTAATCTGCCCAGTAAAGTGCAAAGAATGACACAGATAATCACAACCATGGAAACTTTGACATCGACAAAGAGTCTGAGTCTTAAACTGCTTTATTGTTTGCGGTCTCTCATCCTGACTCTCTAGGCCATACAATAGCCCCCTGTGTTATTGAGAAAAATGATTCTGTACTAAAGAAAGTGGCAGTTATTGGTTTTCTGCCTTGTCACTTGAGTCTTACAATGCGCCTCTCCACAGGTGAAGTTCTCAGTTTATCTCCAGTACCTGCGGGCGATGGGCTGGGGCTTCTCCTCCTTGGCCCTCCTGGCATACTTCTTGCAGAATGTGGCCTTCATCGGGCAGAACCTTTGGCTGAGTGACTGGACCACCGATTCAGTGAATTATATCAACGAGACCTACCCTGCCCATGTGCGTGACATGAGAGTGGGCGTGTTTGGAGCACTCGGAGTGGCACAAGGTAGATCTTTAGCTGATTTTGTCCTTTACTTTGTTTTCCTGACCTTTCCCGTGCTCAAACATACCAAGGGTATTATTCCAGCCCGTTCGCCAGAATACTGTTTTTCATTCAGCAAATGGAAATCAGGTGAGATTTGTAAACCATATCCTTTGAGACACCATTTGGTCAGAATGGGATCTTTAAAATAGGGGGGTCCAGGATAGACATGCACCAATCCAGCAGTAAGATACAAATTATAGCTTCAACTGTATTTAACAGTATTTACAGTATTACAGTTCTTTCTGGTGATTTTTCATAGGAGAGGATCTACCTTCTGTCCTTCAGACAACAGTTATAACTGACCCAGAAAGTGTCTGCTTCCTGCTAGTTAAAAATGTCACCTATCCAGTCATCTTCCAGAAACTGGTCAAGTGACTGAGTGCAGCTTCTCATTCCCTACAGCTTTCTGGGGAATGTGTTGTAGACCTTCAGACCAGGGCTACCATCTTGTTTAAACCTGCTGCACTACGTTATCTTGAAATCCATTGAAAGAATGGGGTACCTCCATATAGAAAAGAAATATAAGGAAACTAAAGTCCTGAAATCCTACTTTGGTGTACATTGTACATTGGAATGCTGATGTATATGTTCTTACAATACAATCTTTTATGAATATTATATCCAACCTGACATGACTTTGTAAGAAGTTTCAAACTCTCACAGCCAAGTGTAAAATCTTGCAGATTGTAATAAACATGAAAACCAATTGGTTGAATAGGACCAGACACCTGCTGCCAAGATGTCATTCTGAAAAAAGTATTCTTTTGAAAAGGATGTGTGTACTTCTTGAGAAACAAATATAAATGCTAATAGGTACATGGCACAGAGGTTCATTATAAAGCAACGCTTCTGAGCCAGTCAGTTCAGTTTACATTTGGCATGCCTGTCAATGGTAATGGCACTGGTGCAATGCTTATCTTGTAGGTGTGTTTGTGTTCATTGGGACTCTCTTCAACACAACCGGCGCAATCTCCGCCTCTCGGATCCTGCATACACGGTTGCTGCGCAATGTCCTGCGGGTGCCCATGGTCTTCTTCGACACCACGCCCTCTGGCAGGATTGTCAACCGCTTCGCCAAGGTGGGACATGGAATCATTTGTACAGTATGTGTGGGTACGCTGTATTATCATTAAGTGCACACAAACTGCTAAATCAGCTGCAATTCCTTACTCTCAACGAATTCACTTCCTTCTTTACACTGTGCATGCAGGAGACCACATAAACACATCACATGCCCATTACTCCCATTACATAATTGTACATTACATCTATCATTGTAATTGTACACTACATCTGTCAACCTACCACAAGACATTATGCCTGAAGCCCCACTATTTGATTCCATTGTACTGTCTGACATTAACCACTGCACTGAATTCAGGTGTTAGGATTGATTTATAGAAAATACACTCCCTGGCTTTGCTTCCTCAACGCAATAATTTGCATTGAGCTTATTTACCTGGATGTGTCCTGTGCTCTGTTGATGCTTTCTGGATCCAGGTCCGTAATGTAGGACACAGACTGTAAATTGGAGACTTAAGCAGTCAAACATTGGAATGCCCTCTGTCAAAATATTCAGGAACGAGTCAGTGATTGTTTTTAAAACTGAATAAAACTCCTGACACCCAAACATAGAGTTTTATTTTGCTTTGGTTTAAAAATTTTTAAAACCTTTGTTTATGCTTTTTTTTCCCATGCACTTGCTGTAGCTGAAAAAAAAAAGGCTATTTCAGGGTGCTGGGGGATGTTCCCGATTTAACAGTGCTGTGCCATGTGTTGTGCTCTCCTGTAGGATATCTTCACAGTGGATGAGGCGATCCCCATGTCGTTCCGGAGCTGGCTAATGTGTTTCCTGGGAGTGATTGGCACTCTGTTTGTCATCTGCCTGGCCACTCCATTCTTCACCATTGTGATCATTCCACTCGGAGTCATTTATTTCTTTGTGCAGGTCAGAGGGCTGTCTGCTACTCCCTTCTGCTATAAATGAATTTAGCTCTTAGCTTTGCTTGGCTACTGTAGATTTTGCCTCATTCCATGTTGTCTGTACACATATTTATTTGGAAATTCCATATCTCTGAAATTGCAAGAATGTACACTCTTTTTTACAAATATCAGAATGCACTTAAAACACCTTTTACCTGTTACCTACACTATATATAAGTTATATTATTTGTTTTTTTACAGAAACTAATATTAAGGATTGAGCAATATTAAGATATTAATTTTCATAAGGCAATAATCAGAACTACCATAAATACTAGGTGAGGGTAGAATATGCCCTGTCAGTAATTTACATTTTCTTTGAACTATACAATTCATATTTGATGGTCATAAAAAAGGAAGGGTATATTCATGTGAATATTATTTTTATTTGTAGCATTGTCAATTTCAGTTTTATAATGTTGCAGTACAATGGGTTTTCTGATTAACTGCGCATAACTGCATTTGTGCCCTCTTCCAAAGATATGATATCTAGACAATGAATGTCTCCTGGCCTTCATTTTGCCTCTTGAAAACCTGTGGATGCCCTTAGCAGAAGACTTCTAGAAGAATGCTGCAGACCATGCATACACACACAGAATTATAGTACTTTAAAGATGATAAATTTAATAATACTAAATGAAAAACTCTCCCACACACTGTACAGTATATACTGTAGCAGATTCGCCTCTGAAGGCAATAAAATTAAAGGCAGATAAAGGATCTGTTATAGAAGTCAGAAAAGTCTGACTATCAAGGTGAGATTCTTCAAGGTTCTGCAATATACAATGTATAAGAGTTATTTTTCTTTGCATTAATGTTGGCATTGATGTTTCTGAATGTGATAGGGAACAGGAAAATGAATGAAGATACAATATGCAGGTCAAGGTATAATATGGTTGTCTAGGTAACTATAGAACCTGAGAAGCAAATAGTGAATCTTGAGCTGATAAACACTAATCTGTGCTTTTGGCCAGCAGCGATTCTATGTTGCCACCTCAAGACAGCTGCGGCGTCTCGATTCTGTCTCCCGCTCGCCTATCTACTCTCACTTTGGGGAGACGGTGGCCGGGCTGTCCATCATCAGGGCCTATGGCCATCAGGACCGCTTTCTCCAGCAGAATGAAGCCACCATTGACCAGAACCTCAAGTCTGTCTACCCCTGGATTGTTTCCAATAGGTTGGTACAGCTGCTGAAACCAAACACGTTTACCACTATTCCAGAGCAAGTTACAATTACAGCCAATAGAACATGGATGCAATAGTATGTTTTACTTTGTCTCTTATTCTTACAACAACAATGCTAATAACCTCCCATGACCAAATAAAGTAGTTTACCTGATAAATACAGTAAGAACTAGTTTAGCTGTGTGGATGCCATTTAGTTTTGGATTACATTTCTTTTGTAGTTTCAGAAGTAATATACACCTTTTCTTTGGAAATTTCTTACAAAAAGGTGTTTAGCAGATGGTTCATTTGTTGCTTCTCTTTTTTTTAATGAACATCCACTAATGACTGGTGTAAACTACACATCAAATAGTTTTTTTTTTTAGTTTAAATATGGCGTCCAATAAATAGAAATTACAATTGGTTTAATAATTTAATGGACATAGGAAAAAAGGAATGAAGATCAAGTCTGATCAAACTGCCACTCAGGAATTTCGTCTGGCAAGCCAAGCGTTTCTTAAAAACAGCCTTATACTGCTTGTGCTGCAGTTTGTATTCCTTTACTGTACATCTTGCCATGCCATGATGGAGATAGGCATGGGTGGTCAGGGGATGTTTGCTATGTGTCTCTGGAGCCTCAGAGAGGAACATTGTCTCTGGCTCCCCTCTCACCTGCTATCTCTCTTCACCGCAGGTGGCTGGCGATGCGCCTGGAGTTTGTGGGCAATCTGGTGGTGTTCTTCTCTGCTCTGCTGGCGGTGATCTCTCGGGACTCTCTGTACAGTGGCCTCGTGGGGCTTTCCATCTCCTACGCACTCAATGTAAGTCCTCTCTCCCTTGCACTGCCCTATAGGGTGTGTTGATCTGATTTAGTGGCCCAGCAAGGTTATTTTTGTAACGTAAAATAACAGCTCAAGAACGACTACTGCTCTTGCCCACTGTAAGCAGAGCTGTTTTCTTCAGCTCTAATCCTCAAGAGTGACAATCCAGCAGGTTTTACAGCTTTCTTATGCACATTTCCGTTAACTTATAATTACAGTAGGTTCTTCCTCAGTGACAGGTGTTGAGGACCTCTGAACTAAATTAAAGGCAACCAATGTCCCAGAAAGGTCATCAAGATGCCAACGGATTAGCTATTATTTTTCTGCAGTTTTTATAGATTTATGGCTGAAGGCTTAAACCAAGAACAAAAGTCCACTCTGGTTGAATAATTCAAATTTCTTGCTAATATTCACACACTCTGCAATGGTTCTTTTGGTACTTTGTTCATGCTACTCTGTGCTGAGTGATGACATCAATACTATTAAGGCAGGCTCACACATAACAACATGTTCAGTACATCAATTCAACTTTTTTTGGAAGAACCTAAAATCGCCCTGTTAGTGTCGTGCTGAGTTGCCTACAGGTTAGTCAGGATGAGCTAATGCCTCACTCTGTGCCTTCTCTGTGTCGTCCCCAGGTGACCCAGACTCTGAACTGGCTGGTGAGAATGACCTCAGAACTGGAGACTAACATTGTGGCAGTGGAGCGCGTGAGCGAGTACACTGAGATCGACAATGAGGTGCAGATCGATCGTAGCAGCCTGCCAGCTTGAAAGCTTTTTTAGGACAGAGCAGAAGATTACTTGAAAGTGAAGCATTCTTTCTTAAGATCTATGCCTGGCATTTGTATTATTGTAGCAGTAAATGCAGCTTGCATTCTCATAGCTACTTTCTCATACTGAGTCTACTGTACATTTTCCCATTATAGTACCCAGATGTTTCTATGTTGGATATAACAGTGTTTACCTGTACCTTTAAAATTACTGCTTTTAAACTTGCTGTGTCATATACAGTATTGTAAATGAAAATCCAGCAGGGACATTCAATGAAAAAAAATAATCAGATTAAATTAGCATCTTGCCTTTATAAGAAAAAAACATGATGATTTTATAAGTGTTTCATTCCAAAATGTGTATAAAATGACTTTATATTGCATCCCTTGCAGTGTTCAGTTGTCATCTTCCAATACAAATCTCATCTGTAATGACTGCAATTATTCTTTCAGAATTGTGAAACTGAAATGCACTTTGTTTTCTTCATATTGAAATGGAAAACAATATGATTTTCATTTTCATATCATTTTCATTTACACAGCAACATTTTTTTTCATGTCGTGTGATTTTAAAAAGCTGTTATTTTTACCATGAGTTTTCAAAGTTTAAAACCATGCACTTTAAAGTGTGCAGCTCCCATCATGTCAAGGACAATTCAAAGCTTTTCACTGTATCAAGGAAAACTAGTGATAAAGTGATGCAATCTAATGTGTTTTAGCCTCCAAAAAGCTTTCAGAGACATCTTAGTTTAGAAATGTTTTCTTAAATGAACAGGTGTGTTTTATGCCTTAAGACTTGTTTGGTTTGGTTTGGTTTGTTTATGTTTTCCTGACAATTTCTATTTTCATTTTTTGCAAACAGGCACCCTGGATCACAGACAAACGTCCACCCCAGAACTGGCCTGATTCTGGCAAGATCCAGTTTAAAAACTACAAGGTTCGGTACCGACCTGAGCTGGATCTGGTACTACATGGGATTACCTGTGACATTGAGAGCACTGAGAAGGTACAGTGTAGGAATGTAGAAGCAGACATTGCAAAATCAAAGCTGTAATTTTGTAAAGAGCATACTAGATTGTCTGAAAGCAGCCATATGTTTTACACAATGGTTAAATTCTGTGTGGCTCCCCCCGAAAGATAAGCGCTGTTTGTCATGTGTTTCCAGATCTGGTTCTGGAGGATCACTGTGTCTTCTGTTTTTTCTCCAGCTGAGTCCTTAATCACAGGCTCATTGTGTTTTGGAGCATATTTTGAATTTGCTTTCAGCTCTTAATGGGGTAGGATTTAGGTATTGTAATTGGTATCAAATTGGTATCAAACCTGTACCAAATTCTGTTTCAGAATTGCCCTCATTCAAGTGTGTTACCTAAAATTGAACCTCTGCAGAAGGCCAAAATCCTCACCATTGGAGTATCTGACACTGTTTCATTCCCTCATGTTCATAAAACAACGCTCAGCTAATAAGGGGTGTTTAGTGAGAAATAATGGCAAATAAGTTGAAGAGATATTGTGTGAAGAAGCAACTCTCCTGGAACTAGGGTATTTTTGACATTCAAGACTTGTTAAAGGAACAAGTTAACAAGCCTAATGAAGCAAATGGACCAATTAAGTCATTAATTAGCATTGGATGGCACAGCGCTCCTCCAGGTTTATGAATTCATCTCCATATTTATTTTGTCGGCATCAAGAAGTTCAGTTTTGAACAACTTGCAATAAAAGCCAGAAAACCTCAATGACAACACCTCTCCTTTTCACATCAGGGAGGACTTAGGTCATCCTGCAACATGTATACTCTCTGACAGCACACTGGCAAGGTGCAGGATGAGAGCAGTCGTAAAGAATATTAACCCTGTGTTACGGTTGCAGCTGGTCTTAATTAACCCCTCGTTACCCAATTTCCCTCACACACCCCTTCCTTCACTATTTAAACCCTCAGTTCACTCGGTAACATTGCTCGTTATTAGGAATCTATCTGCCAACTGAGCTTGCAAAGTCCTCGAACCTCTGGCTACTGAAATACAGACCTTTCTAGCATTGGACCTTTTGACTACTCTTTCATCTCGCCCCTTTTTGGAATTGTTTGCCCTGTGGCTTTGTCTGACTGGACTCCGACCTCTAGCCTGGAACTACCAACCACTCTGCTGCCTCGCTCCTCTCGGACTCGTAGCCATCTGACTCTCTCAGCAACCTGCACAGGGTTCATAACTACTCATTCATTCAAACTTGTACTTCAAGATGGGGGGGAAAGGGAGCATGAGCTCGAAACTCACAGATGAACAAGCTAACTGAGACATAATGTTATGGATGTGTTGGGGGGCCTGTGCTACAGATTAAAATTGATATGAGTTATTGCTGCTGTCTAGTTGTAATCTGGTGTGTCACCGCCCTGAGAAACCCGAGGGGGACGGGGGCTGCAGCAGTGAAAATGGAGAGAACAGGGAGAGGGAGGAGGCGTGGCTTGAGACCCGGCGAATCCCTCTCCCCTGGGGCGCTTCCCGCCGGCCTGTCTCACGAGGCTGTTTGTCCCAGATCGGCATCGTGGGGAGGACGGGTGCCGGGAAGTCCAGCCTCACAAACTGCCTGTTTCGCATCATCGAGTCGGCGGGGGGCCACATCCTGATCGACGGGATTGACATAGCAACGCTGGGGCTGCACGACCTCAGGAGCCGCCTCACCATCATCCCGCAGGTACTGTATCGCCCCAGACAGGTCCGCAATCTAGGGTGGCCACAGACAGTCCTTCTTTCAGCTGCACAGCATGCCACAGGCCCAGAACACAGCATTGGAAGTAAAAGCAAAACACAGCAAGACCATATAAATGGTCATGGTCTCTGCTCTCCTCCCCACTGATAGCTGATATGTGGTGAGTGTTCTGGTGCACTATGGCTGCCGTCACATCATCCAGGTGGATGCTGCACATTGGTGGTATTGGAGGGGGGTCCCCATTACCTGTAAAGCGCTTTGAGTGGAGTGTCCAGAAAAGCGCTATATACTGTAAGTGTAAGCAATTGTTGTTGTTATTATTATTATTATTATTATTATTATTATTATTATTATTATTATTATTATTATTACATGTCAAGGCTTTTATTAGCATACACTGTAAGGAGCTCTATTGTTCCCTTAATATCATCTGAAATACAGACAGCCATGGACCAGCATCTGCTGCTGTATAGGCCAGGACCACTGATCCCTTCAGCTTTGGATCTAAAGGACAGAGTAAAAGGAGGTGAAGTTAGCTGTTTGAGGGAACGGACAGTGAGGGTGAATCTTCTAGTCACTTACTTTATCTTTAGCATGGGACCACTTAGCCATCTAATTCACTAAATTGAAAACACAGTCATCACCCAGCTGTGATATCAATTTGTTAAAAGAGAGTGTGGTGTGTCATCCGTCTCAATGCTTAATGTCATATTTAACATGAAAAGCTATGATCAAAGGGTCATATGTGCATGGTAAACCCACTCCAGTTTTTGCAGGTTAAATGATGATAAAGAAAGTTAAGATGTGGAAAAAACAATAACATCACACAATCCACTAAAACTTTTGAAACTTTAAAGAAGGTGATGCAACTGCATAAGGGAGATGACTGCCTGACTCCACTATTTTTTTTCTGCTTTCAACGCTTTGAAATAAGCACCAGCAACTGAGACTCAATGTGAACTATGGTTTTATCATTGTGAATGCCATCCTCATGCAAAGGACATCCTGCTTCTCTGTTTATCGCAGAAGCAAATATCCCAGGCTGCTGAGGACAGAGGTGTTCGTCTGGCAAAGGTGCTGACAGATTTCACAGCAATATAGAGAGGGCGATTGATTTAGCACTGTGACTGGTGCTTCAGAAAGCATTGATATCATCATGCCCTTAAACAGGAAATACAGCGCCTTACAAAAGTATGCAAACTTTTGTACAATTTTTACATTTTTTTTCTGTTTTTTGCTGCACTCATCACTCTTTGAAATAGCAATTAATATACATCATAAGCACAAGCTACAGTACATATTTAAAGCACAAAAAGCAAAGAGAAAGAAGCACACATGATTAATCATGCGAATAACATGAAAGAATAATTAATTTAGGTGCACAAATTTTAGTTAGCTGAATGGTCTCTGTGTGCAATAAAAGTAATTCACTTGATTTCAGAAAAAAATCCACCCATTGCTGTAGGGACCATCTGTCAAGTAGTGAATTTCAAGCAACCAAGGAATGTATAAAACAACTCAGGGATAAAGTTAGCTTTGTAAGCCTTGGCAAATTCAAAATTCCTTCTGTGTGTCATTGTACATTTATTCAGCTCAGCAAAAACATACAGCAGAATAGACATGATTCTTATTTTGTAGTAATCTAATTTGTGAGTGCAGAAGATATTGATTTTGGCTCCTGCCTTTGTAGCAAACATCTTTCATTTTGTTCCAGACACTACATAGGGTTTTTTTAAGGGACACGGTGTTTGTGTCACAGTTGAAAGAGGCTAGGGAAATGAATGTGTCACAGAGACATTCCCATGCACAGTTGGGGAGATGACAAGATATTTTGTCAGGAGTAGTGACATTTCTTATGCTTCTAATCTGAGCAAGTATGGATTGCAGCAAATCAAATGCTCTTAATCACAGATGAAGTAAGGGTTTTGCACTGCTAAAATGAAAAGACTAGATTCTTTGAACATTAGACATAAAGGTCCGTGTTGGTACAAAGTGGAATTTATAGCTCAAGAACTTTACTGTGAGCTTGCATTAGCATGACTTCAAGCTCTGTCCTTGAAACAAACACAAATGTTCACTTCCTTGGATATGATTAAGGACTCCATGGGATATGTGTATGTATGAATACAAGGAGTATAATTTTCACTTGTACACATCTGAAGTAAAGGCAGATATCAAGATTATTCTTGAACACCTCAGATTTACCACATTCACAGTATCTCCTGAACAAACTAATGATCTAGATGCACCTCTTACACCACAAGAGCTGGAAGAGTGTGAACTCACCCTCACCAGTAGGTAAACTGATGAAGGGGAAGAAGCCTTTTGTGTGGGTGGTGTTTTGCTGTTTTGTTATTCCTGTTCAGTTTCTGAAGATGATTTGTAGGTTGTACAAGTTTGTGACTTAGGAAGCGTGACGGTTACTCCCCAATATCCTTGATGAAGGGTACAAGACAAGACTGTCCTCTCAGCACCCCCCTCCACCACCACCACCTTTTCACCCTTTCCTTCGAACCCCTTGCACAAAATATTATAAAAAGGCATTACATACATACTGTACTTATTGAAATTCAGGACTCAAAAATATAATAAATGGTATATGTACTGTACACTGATGATATTTTGCTTTATTTTCTGGTGATTCTAGCTCTCTGAGTTTTGGGCTCTTCCGTTTGCACGATTAACTAGGAAAAGGTCGTTTTTTGTGCCTGTGAAGTCACCTATTATGGTTACAGCCATTGCTTCAGTTTCTTTTATTTGTATCACTGCTGACACATGCACTTATTAAGATATTGAAATTTATAACACATTGTCAAAGACTAGAAAAGAAACTTTGATAGCATATTGCATATTGAGTTGCAGCTAGATTGCATAAAAGAGTCACCACTTTACTTTGAATGCTTTGAATATTTTGAATGCTTTCCAATCTGTGATTACAATGAATACTTTGCCGCAGGTGAACTTTCTGTTTTCAATGCTGCCGCAATCACTTCCTCTAAAATTCATTGCAAATTTCAACTTATTATGACTCACATGTACTGTACGTATTTAGAATGGCAAGAATCACAGAATCAGAATAACTACTCTTCAGCACCCCAGGGATGCTGGAGGTCTTGCCAAACATCCATATTGATTCAGATCAGGACTGAATATAGATCAGGGCTGATCTGTGATTTAGCCCAGGTACAGTTCTCATGTCTGCTGGAAACTCACAGAGGGTACTATGGTACATAGTACCTTGTAAAGATTACAATATCTTTATGATGGGCTGAGTAATTTCTCCTCCCCGTTCATGCCAGGACTTATAATACTCTCTTCTGAGTTTTTTTTTTTATACCTCAAGCTTCATTCATCTCTCATACCTGTGGTGTGACATGGGTTTCAGCTCTTCTTTTACAACCATTGTTGGATCTTTTTAATAATACTGGTAAAATGGGGTTTCTTTCAACAATATTCAATACACTTACTGTATTTCTCACAAAACTCCCTTGTGTTATCAATTTAGAAAAAAGAGTTTATTCCTGTAAGTGTAATGTTACACCAGACTGGGAGGTGAATATGGGGAACACTTTGCATCATCACAAAAGTAGTACAGCAGCTCATTTATTTCAAGTTTATACTACTTTACAAAACTTGAATTCTACATTTTTTGCAGGACGTTTAGGGTACTGATTAGTTCTCTGTAGCCTAGATAATGAATGAACCTAAATCTTTTTCAAGTTTAAAGATATTACTTTTATATTGGTGTGTCCATGTGTTTCTCCAGGACCCTGTGCTGTTCTCCGGGACCCTGAGGATGAATATAGACCCATTTGAGAAATTCAGTGACAGTGAGATATGGAGGGTGTTGGAGCTGTCCCATCTGAAGGAATATGTGGACGGATTACAAGAAGGACTCTACCATGAAGTCACAGAAGGAGGGGAGAATCTTAGGTTGGTGAGAGTAGATTTTGTAATATGTCTCCATAAATATTATGCCCAAATTCACCTTGAACATCAGGCAATTAGTTATCTAAATCCACTCATTTTTGGCTTCATCAGACCAATTCAAAGCTACTCTCAGCTCTTCAGGTGCTGTGCCATACAGAGACTTAGAAACCCTGCAGAAATTCTAATCTTCTAGGGCTAGAATTGAAGGCCATATAAGAAGCTCTGTGTTTATTGTTGTGAAAACATTTAGAAAAAGGAATTCTCTCCATCCTCGCTTCAACCTGTGTATAAAGGGGTTGCTGTCTTTGTTTGCCTAAACAGCCCTTAATAAGTGACAAATTAATGGTGTCCAGACAGATGGGAAGGGCAGTGTATCAGACAGCATTCTGCAGAAGTCCGCTCACTTAATATTCTACACATCTGAGTAGGGCAAGGTGTGAATTTCAGAAACTGGTTCAGGGTACTGGGTGGCACAGTGGTGTAGTGCTAAGCCTTGCTGCCTCACAGAGCTCAGGCCCTGGGTTCAGTTACCCCAAACCCCAGGCACTCTGGGGTTCTATCTGCATAAAGTATGTGTGGGCTCTCTCTTCCCATGGGTTTCCTCTGGGTTTTCCTCTGGGTTAACTCCTATCAGCACAGTCTAAAAATATACTAGTAGGTTAATCAGTTTTTGGGAACCCTGGCCATGGTGTGGGTATGTGTGTGTTTGTGTCTGTGTTTGCTCTGGGGTGGACTGGCATCCTGTCCAGGGCGTATCCCGCCTTGTGGCTCTTGCTTGCAGGGTGAAGCTCTGGCTCCCCTGCGACCCTGTACTGGATAAACGAACTTAGAAAAGGGACGGATGGAGGGATGTACTCAGATTACTAATTACTAACCCAATCTATCTTTTTTTAGAATTGTAAAGGACATGTTTAAAATCAAATAGATGAAGTTATTTAGTTTATGTAAGTTTTTTATCTATCTTCTACAGTTACATTATCAAGTAACAAATGTATGCAACAAACCATCATTGTGTTATTCAGCAACAGGCGTTCAAGTAGGGATCTGCGTCAGCATGCATAGGCTACAAAGGAACAGGTCAAGATTCATTCCATGTGGAAAGGAAAAGAAAAGGGACACAACGTTCCGGCTATGGAGCCTTCTTCAGGTGCAAGAGAGAGAGGCAAAGTAGCAGATAACTGAGGCATAAGAGAACAAAAGACAGAGTAGGTAAGAAGGGGCAGAAAGCAGTGAGGAAATTCTTATTACAGACATCCATGGGGGCTTTTTTTTTTAACCAGCTATATTTCTGAAACTGATACCCTGTTTTCTTTCAAGAACTGGCTGAATGAGGTTCTTGAATCTGCTATACTGTACTTGCTACCATACACGTGGGCCCAATAACCTCCTTTTGTTGGTAACTTTGTATGAATGTTTTCATTCATACTGTCTAATGGGGTGCAATTTATCCTGTTGTATAGCGTGGGGCAGCGGCAGCTCATATGTCTTGCCAGAGCCCTGCTGCGGAAATCTCCTATCCTGATCCTCGATGAGGCCACCGCAGCTGTGGACCTAGAGACAGATAACCTGATCCAGACCACCATCCGGCAGGAGTTCTCCCACTTCACTGTGCTCACCATCGCCCACCGGCTTCACACCATCATGGACAGCTCTCGGTGAGCTTGAAACCTTCAGCACTAGCAGCACAGACTATGAGTACCCACCAGGCATGCCTTACCATGTTAACATATCAGTCGGGACATTTACTGTATAGCAATGACAAACAACCAGCACAGGAAGCACAACAGATCCCTGTTCTATACAGTTTGCTAGGCCAAGCAGAAGGATAATATTTATGACTTGTGTGAACATACTGTACTGCAGGAGCTATTCTGGGTTCATATATATGAGTGTGTGACATTTCTGAAAAAAAAATTAAGACTGAAGAGCTTAATAGAACAGTTCTTAGTTCTATTTTATGAGAAAAATACCCACTCCTCTCTTCAGCTGTACAATAGTTCTCAGAAGACTAGATTGCAAAATGATTTTTTTTATCATTCCCTTTAAGCTCAGATGAGAATCTTTTTTTTTAAAATCACCCCTAATGTTCTTTTCTAATCATACCAATCCCAAACCAGTTCAATTAAACAGTCTTGACAAAGAGGCTGTAGGAACACAGCAGATACAAACAGCATTTCCTACAGCAGCCTTCAGTGTACATTGCTGTACTTTTTGCAACGGCTTTCTACTTTGAAGAAGAAAAGAGATGCTAAAGCAGGGGTCTCCAAGACTGGTGCTGGATGGTCCCAATCCAGATTGGTTTACAGGTCTGTTTTGCAGCCTTGCTGCCACACAGAGCTGAGGCCCTGGGTTCAGTCCCTGGGGTGCTGCAGTATCTGCAGGGAGTTTGTATAGTCTCCATGTTCCTCTGGTTATATACTGTATAAATGAGTTTAGAAAATGGACGGATGGAGGGATGTATTCAGAGTACTAATTACTAACCCAGTCTATCTTTTTTAGACAGTTTACCATGTTAACATATCAGTCTGGACATATACAGCAAACAACCAGCACGACAGATCAGTGTCTAGTAGGATATCCCTGTTCTACACAGTTTGCTAGGGCAAGCAGAAGGATAATGAGTAACACATATACGTTTTTGACCAATTAAGCAAGTAATTTGTTCAATTAACGGAATTGTTTCTTTAATTGTTTCTTAAGGATCTTTAGTTTGAAATAATCATCACTTGAACAAATCAACTGTTAAGCTGATCACAATAATGACCTCCTGTAAGCCTTCTGGACAGGGGCTCTCTGACAGCAGGGTTGGAGGCTTCTGCTGTAGAGCTTTTCCTGAAGCACACAGCACGTGCATGTGGAATGATCCATTGTTTTTCAGACTTAGAGGAACCTAATTCCACTCTCCATTATGAAACAAATGTTACAGTATTATTTTAGATTTTCTTATGCCATCTACCTGTTTTTTGTGTGTGGGGAATCATACTGCATTCATCCCGCTTATGATCAAACTGCAATCCCTGTAGCACCTGGAAAGCCACAAAGGCTGTTGTCCTGATAATCAAGCAAACCCTGGTAATTACCCATGAAACCCCGGCATGGCATACTAAGTCCTACACTGGCATCAAGGGAATAGGAATAGTGAGATAACCCATTTTAGATCCTCCAGTAAGGTCCAATGTGCACTCACAGCACCAGCTGAGTGACATACAGTAGGAATCTCTAATAAATAAGTTTGATTTACCTTTAAACTGTAGTGTAATGACCAATTATAACCAGCTCATGTCAATGGTTTGGCTTGTTTGGTGTTATTAGAGTAGGAGGAAGGAACTGGGGAGGATGTGAACGCTTTTTTCGTTTATAGCTGCTAATGGATGAAAAGACATTTGGACTTTAACATTTATTTTTTCACTTTTAACTTTGTGTCATTTTAGCTTTTGCCTTTCAGACAGACATATACAGTATAGATCTCTCTCTAGCCTTCAACGTGATTAGCTCCTTAAACAGCTGTACTTACAGCTGGATCTTTCAATGTGTGATGTGCCTTGTCTGTCTGGAGGATGTGGTCCTGTGGGACAGTGGGTAAAAGATGACATTTTCTTTAAAGCACAGACTACTTGTGCTCAGAAAATCTCTTTATTTACAATTCTCTCATTTCAAAGAAACTGTGAAGTTCAAGTTGGATAAATGTTTTCAATTTCCTACAGGTTTCAAAAACCTTCTTTTTTGTGCCTATTATTTTATGTTTGTGAGAGGTTCACAGTAGCATCGCTTCAAGAAAGAACATTTGAGCTAAAACTAAAGTCTTTCAAGATTCTAGATGAAGAAGACTACCTACATGCCTACCTTAAATTCTCCATCCCTGAATTCTTTCTCTCAGTTAACACAATATCTTTGATACCTAGATGAGGTTCACAGGACTTTCATAGCAACACTAATTTTAAAGGCACTTGTCTTTTATTTCACAGGGTGATGGTGCTGGATGCTGGGAAGATTGTGGAGTTTGACTCTCCTAGTGTACTTCTTCAGAAGCAGGGCCATTTCTACTCAATGGCAAAGGATGCTGGTCTGGCAACAGCAGAACACACAGCTCTCTGAGCATCAGTCAAAAAGATCCTGGGATGAGCGCATCCCATAGTGTGACCATACAGTACATTCTGCATGCTTACAACACATGGCATACCCAGAACTACAATTCCCAGAAACAAAATTGTACTGTACAACACTGCATTTCATTTTCTTAGATGAATACGTTGTATGGACATGTAAAGAAATATGCACCAGCCCATTTCTATTGTTTTCTGCTTTCAAATCAATTCAGACCACTCCTAATCTCATCACAACTACTTTTTTAGTGTACAGTTTACAGTTACACATAGCCATTGTTAAAGTTTGTTGGCTGCAGTACTGCAACTTTATTCAAGTCATTTTTTTTAGGGAAAAAGAGCTTTGCAGATTTTTCCATTTGCCAAATAGCGATTTAAATCAGAGAGCATTATGTTTACAGGTTGCATACAAAGTTGTCAGCTTCCTTTTACCCACATAAATAAACTACACTTCTTATAGTTTGAAAAGTTTATATGACAAAAAAGTGCAATCTATTACCATCCATTTCTGCAATATCCACTTTTTTTCACATTCAAGTAATGGGCAGGTTCATATTCATTCATAACCTCTGTTTGACATATGATTCTGTATTTCTTCCATTACAATTTCTCATTACAAGATTACAAACCATTTTGTGAATAATCTAGTCCATCAAGAAAGGTTTATCTGATTAATATAATCTCCATCCTATCAAGCGTTGCACTTAATATTTATGTTATGGTTCACGCCACACAAAGCTGATGTTGTTTTCTTATACTGTAGCTGTTTATCTGGATTTTATTTACAGGTTTGTATTCTATTTAAATAATAAAAAATTAAACATCATTCATATGATGTATGTTTTTACATTTTCTGTCTACAATACTGCAAAATGCAGTATTGCAAGATTTCTAAGCCTGTACGTGTTAGAAATTACTTTCTTTGCTATTTCTTTGAACAGCAAATTATTAGATAAGGATTATTACTGTATGTATTCACAGCATACAGCCAATGTGCGTATACTTTATCGTTTGCACTCCAAACCTAAGTGCTACTTGGTACTGTTCTGAAATACAATCAGTCAAAAAGGTCTGCTTTTCTACCAAGCCAAAATAAATGAGAATAGACATTTTGGCTTGTCTACCTTATTTTTTTTTAACTATTAACTAATTGATCTGAGGATTTAATTTGCTAAGGTTTTGAAAGAATGCATGGAATCAGCTTTGAAAACAGAGGTGTGTAGCTCACTACGAACTTCCACATGCCTTTTGTAAACAAGTGCATACAATATTTTTTACATTTGAAATGCACATGTAGTTTCCACATGTGTCCTGTGTTTCGTTTTTCATTGTTGATTCTGAAGACCACTGGGTTGACTGTCATTTACTTTGAGGATTCTCTACTGAGTCATGTCCCCTTGTAGTCTTCTCTATTCAAGATGAAAAATTCCGTTATTTTAGTCTGTCAGCATTCCTTTCAACTCAATGTAAATGTTTGAGCAACAATAACGTTTGTTACGGAGTGACCACAATTGTGCGTAGAATTCTAATTGAGCTATTACAGTACTATGCATTGTACAGTTTTAACATAAAAATACACCCTTGGTTTGCATGACTATTGAAAGACTTTTAATAGTTTCTAAATAATATTCATCCTTTTTGTGAATAAAATTCATGGTAGAATAACATCAGGCCCAAAAGATTTATCTTAGACAGATACCATAGGGTATGTTCTATTAACAGTTTGGCTTGTTAGCTGTTTAATCTAGAAGTTTTTCCGCTTCTCTTATGTGCCTTGTGCTTATTGTTTTGAAGAAAGGTTTCTCTCTTTTTAAGTATTTTGGATCTTAAAAACTTCTTTTTATTTTTATTGGGCTGGGTGTCTCATGAGCCTCACAAATACTAGCTATTTTGATGGGTTTTCATCTGCAAGGGATCCTAAATCAAGCAGAAGCATACAGTTGTATGCAAACGTTTGGGCACCCCTGGTCAAATTGCATGTTTCACTGAATCTGTAAGTGAAAAGACATTAACACAACCTCTGCAGGGTACATACTTAAACATGATATATTTCTGCACCATTACTATTTATTTATTAGCTTAATTTAACAGATTAAAAAAATAAAACAGTGAATATGGTATGTGCAGACGTGTGGGTACCTTTCTAGTTGATTCAATAATATTTTTTAAGGCCTCAAAACTTGATTGACTTGTTAGGCCTTACATTAGGCCAGGTAAAGACAATTACAGAGTTGAATAAATACTCTGACCCTTCTTACCTCTCAGGAGGTTGTGCCTACTCTCAATAGCCATGGGCTCCTCTAAGCAGCTGACTGAGGACTAGAAAATAAAGATAATTTACTCTTATAAAGATATAAAAAGATATCTAAATGCCCTTAGCTTGGAATTTCCACTGTCAGAAACATCATTAAGAAATGGAAATTAAGGGGAACTCTTGAAATTGAGTCAAGATCTGGAAGACCCAGAAAAATCTCTGCTAGAACTGCTCCTAAAAACAATAAACAATACTTAGATAAGCCAGAAACATTTTGGAACAAAGTGCTGTGGACTGATGAAACAAAAATTGAACTTTTTAGTCACAACCACAAAAGATCAATTTGGAGAAAAACAGGTGAAGCATTTGAAGAAAATAACACCTAACCAACTGTTAAGCATGGGGGGGGAGATCTATTGTGCTTTGGGGTTGTGTAGCAGCCAGTGGCACAGGAAATACTGTTGTACTGTAGGTAGAAGGTAGAGATGGATTCAACTAAATATCAACGAATCAGCTAATGTCACAGAGTCAGTGAAGAAATGGAAGCTGAAATATTTCAGCAAGACAACACACCTCAAAATCAACCATGAAATACAGGAATGAAAGATTAAGGTTTTGTAATGCCTTTCACAGTCCCCAGACATGAATATTATTGAATGTCTGTGGGGAGATCTTAAACATGCAATGGCTGCAAGAAGACCTCAGAAAAATTCTGAACTAGAGAGTTTTGCAAGGAAGAGTAGGGGAACAAATTCCTAAAGCAAGAATAGGAAGACTCTTAGCTACCAGAAACGTTTGGAAGCTGTGATTTCTGACAAAGGAGGTGTTACTAAGTTTCTGACTGATGTGCCCAAATGTTTGCACATGACACATTCACTGTTTTATTTTTTATAATTAATTTATATTTATTTGTATAAATAGTAATTGTGTATTAAAAATTGCAGAAACATCATGTTTAAGTTTATATCTTGCAGAGGTTGTGTGAATTTCTTTTCACTTAGGGATTCTGTGAAACATGCAAACTTTTGCATACAACTGTATAATAAAACAGATGAAAGTCAGAATTCTGATTGCAACAAGCATTATTGAAAAGATTTCAAATTTAGAAAAAACAATTATTCTGATCCATCCATATCGATTGAGGGTCCCAGTTTGGAAAACTGAGCCACTTCTCTAGTGGCAAAATGAGGTACAAACCTCTCCCATTGCTTGTATACCAAATCAGAATTCAAACCCAATTAAATACTGTAGCATCCTTCATTCCTTATTAATAAAAGACTGTATAAAGTACTGGATGTGTTGCCACTTTACAAATTTAATTCCCTTACAAAAAGGTAAGTTCAAAATATTCAACTGAAAAACAATTTAAGGCATAATAATTTCTTCAGATGGATGTGGGCTATGCTTGTTTGGTATCAAAAGAATGGGCAGAACACGAAGAGTTCAGAAATCTAAATATCAAACCTGTGTGTATGAGTTATACTCGACGTTTTATCCTCAGTCCTAATAGAAGCAATACAATTTCCTGAAGGAGAGATGTGCAAAACTAAGATCTGAATTGGCCAACCAGAAGTCTGGCAGACAAGATGTTGGAGTGTTTTTGTTTGAGACCAATAGATAGGTCCAAGCAAGACCTATAATTTGGAAGTTAGGTTCATGAGGACAAAAAAGATTGGAAGTTTGGAAGATTTGGAAGATGTCAGGCCCAAGAGGATTGGACGTCGAGACCCAGGGAAGCCAGCCCACAAATGAGAAGATGTAGCAAAGAGCTCAACCGGACCTGGGAAGACCACCCTCTCCAGCCAGCAGCCCATCTACTTGCACTCCACAGCCATGCTGGATCAGCACCCATGCAGCATCACAGTACTCCTCACCTTAACAAATCTTCATGGATCAGGTGATGCCTGCTTCCCCACTGCCCAGAACGTAAGCAACAGGAGCATACCAAGCTTTTCTGGTTTGCACACTTTTTTAAGGAACAGTTTAAATTTGCTTTGTGCTGGGGTTTAATGATTGACAGCGATAGAGGCCTTTTGCCTTGAATTAGAATTCAAGTTTATTATTCTTGATCTTAACTGCATGCATCTTCCTAATTCTCTATTTCCTACTCTTTCCTCAGCTCTTTCTATAAGCCGTTTGCTTGTATTATGTTCTTATGTTCTTCCTAATAAGCTCATCTATTTTAATAAAATGAAAGCAGTCCTGATTTGAATTCACACAAATGAACATTGCCGCTTTCATGAATTCGGGTTGTTAAGCATTGTGTTAATTATCAGATTAACATGATTTTGTTTTTGGAAAATATGGTGATATTGTAAAGGTTGGTGTGGTGATTATCACTAGATCACAAGACCTGTTTTATATCTTCTGTTGGTGTTTCAGTAACCTAGAATATGTTGTATGGGTCTTGTGTTCAAAGTTGCCTACAACAGGATCTAAGGTTTAGTCACGTGTTATTCTCCCAGAATATGTACTGTATGTTATTGCCTGGAGGTTCAGGTAAGCCTCCAAAACCATCTGATCCACAAACGGTATTTGAAAACCATAGGAAACATTCTAAGGACAATCCAAACACTTCTCACCACTCAGCTAGGATGATCATAAGGATACTTTACTTCATACTCAGCTGGTCTTTTCAACTGAAAAAGAAAGTAAAGTGAAAAAGTACCATTTACTGTATGCCCCCAATATGTGCACTTGTGCAGTATATTTCAAAAGCCAACATCCAAGGTCTATAACATTGGTGTTATTTTAGAAAAATAGTTGTTGAAGGAAAGAAGTAAGTCAATGAGTGCCAGTGGGTCAA